AACCTCAATCTAGACCAAATTGTTGACTGTGATGGATAGATGGAGACGATAGTCTTGTTAGTGGTTTTTTTTTTTTTTTTTCTCTTAATTTTTTGTTTCTAAGTTTTTAAAATTTTGATTTTATTCCAAGGCATTTTAGCCTTTTAACATAAGTAAACGATATGTTTCCACTTGAGGTTTAGTAAAATAATAAGTTTTTTTTTTTTTTTTTTGGTAATTAAATTTCATTAGAAGAAAAGAAAGAATATACAAAGGCCGACCAACCTACCTCAGGACATGCCTTGGGTTAGGTGCAAAAGAATAAAGTAATCTAAAAGACTACTATCAAAAGGCTAACTAGACAAGAGCCTATACAAAACCAAATGCCACTCTCCTCTTGTTATGCAATCTTAAAACCAAGATTGTGGACAAGAGGAGCACAAATGAACCAGCCCACACAAAGCAACTAAAATCAACAAAATAGATCAAAAATAAAGAAACGGCTCCTCCCATAGGACAAGCCCCTGGGTGAGGACCAAAAAACAAATCAAAGACAAGAAATATAAAGACAACAACTTGGCATTTCCATCTTCAATAGCAAGCAGACCAAAACAACATCATGAGGGCATTAATCAATTGGACGGGTAAGATTTGAAAATGGACCTCAAAAGGCCCCAATCATCCATCAAGCGCCTATTTTTGAAAGTAACCTTAAACTTTTTAAGCCCCATGGCTTTTTCTCTAACCATACACTTAATAAAGTCTATAATAGAATTAATATCTCTATATTCACCCAAACATCCTACTATTTCTCTCCCTCCAAATCCAATAAACCGTGGCTCCCAAGCAAAGTTTGTCAATTGCATATTTAAGTTTTTTCCATTTCCATCTTCTAGCAAGTAACAAAACATAATTCTCCCAAGGTCTTACAAGATAGCCCAAATGAGAGCTCAAGAATTCTACCCCAAAGTGCATAGGAGAAAGGACATGCAAAGTAAAGGTGATCAAGAGATTCTTGCCCCCCGTTACAAAAACAACAATTATAATCTCATAAGCTTGTCTTTGGTCAGAAGCCTACCTTTCATTGCCATCCATAAGATCATAGCATGCCGAGGGATAGAATTTTAGAACCAAACCAGATCACTCCAAGCAACTTTCGACTTTCTTCCTCTAGTAATTTCCTAAGCCGATTTGAAGGAAAAACATCCCGAAGAAGAGGGGCCCCAATAAACTTTATCTCCCCCAAGTGAGAGATTAAAACTAATTGAATTTTCCATGTCCATGAGAACCCAAGAGTCAGCCACAGGCCATTTCCAACCATCATTGTCAATAACATCACTCACCATAGCTTCCTTGGTGAAACCCAAATCATGAATAATCTACTCACCATATTTGCAAATCAATGGACCATTTGGATGCCAATTGTCAAACCAAAGTGAAGTCAACTTGCTATTACCCACAATATTCCTAATCCTTTCCCTAACCAGCACCCTAAACTTGAGAATGTGTCTCCAAACCCAAGTACTTTCTTGGGGAATTTTGATCTCCCATAAATTCCTATTTCTAATGAAGTAGACCTGAACCCAAGCCACCCACATAGACTTTGTGTGATGGTTACATAAGTTCCAGAGGTGTTTGAGAGTGGCGGCTATGTTCCACTCCTTGGATTTGATAAACCCGAGCCGACCTCCATTCTTAGGAACACATACATCCTCCGAAGCAATCCTTACTTTATTTCTTTTTACATCCACACCAGACCAAAAGAATGCTCTTAAATAAGCATCAATTTCATTATGGGTTTTAGAGGGAAGGGTAAAAAGTGAGGCCTAATAAACTTGGACACTCCAAAGAATAGATTTGATGAGAACCACTCTCTCTCATAAGAAAGAAATCTACTTCTCCAAGAAGACACCCTAGCAAAAATCCTATGTATAAGGGATTGACACTCCCCGTACAATAATGTAGAGGTAATGATGGGAACTCTTAAGTATCGTATAGGAAGTTTGCCCTCGACATACTCAATCAAACTCAAAAGCTCCATTTTCTCTTCACTAGAAACTCCGGATAAGAAAATGTTACTTTTATCGGGGTTGGCTCTCAAACCTGACCATAATTCAAAATTTTAAAAAGCATGTTTAAAGAGAGAGAGAGAGAGAGAGAGAGAGAGAGAAGTACCTTCGGCTTGGCAAAAGAGCATAAGGTCATCAGCAAAACATAAGTGAGTAATCCCTAATTTCTTGCATCTCTAATGAAATTTAAAGTTCGGATTGGTTGCTACTATATTAAGCAATCGGGATAAGACCTCCACACCAATAACAAAAAGATATGGTGACAAAGGATCCCCTTGAATTATCCCTCTCAAACTCCTAAAGAACCCCACCAACTCACCATTAATCCCCACCGAAAATTTAGGAGAAGTAATACAACACTCAATTAAGAAACCAAGGTGTTGGGGAAGCCAAAAAGTTTAAAAGTTTCAAGAAAAAGACTTCAATTGATTGAATCATATGCTTTCATCAAGTCAACTTTAATAGTACATCTTTTCTCCTTAGCCAAAGGCCTATTATAATTGCGGACAAGTTCTTGGCAAAGGAGGATGTTATCCCCAATACTCCTTTCTCCCACAAAAGCCGCTTGCGCATGATCAATAAACAAAAGGAAACAACTTTTCATTCTATTCGCAATGATTTTAGTAATGCACTTGTAAATGGTGTTGCAACAAGAAATAGGTTTGAAGTCTTTACAAGGAAAAGGGTTATCACACTTAGGAATAAGGGCAATAGAAGTGGAATTTACCTCTTTAAGAAGGTACCCCTCTCTAAAGAAACTCTTGATATCACAAATCACATCTTCCCTAACAATATGCCAAGCTTGTTTGAAGAGGAGAGCTCCAAAGCCAAAGAAATAGTAAGTTGATATCCTTGGTTTCATTTATTCCAGATTCTTACCCTTAAAGTAACATCATTAATTTGGTGGTGACTTTAATCGAATAGGTTATGGGCACTAATTTGGGGTTTGATTTCTAGCAATTGGGGAGTAAAAAATGACCAAAAATCACATCACAACAATCAACTGATGGCAGAGATGCTAGCGCTGATGTCTGGAGAGATCGGTTGTACCCAAATCGATTAGAAAAAACTTGAGAAGTAATTAACCCAATTTCACAAGGTGGCAAGAATGGAGGTGGCTGAAAATGGTGAGTGAGGTCGGCAAGTGAAGGTATGGGTTTTGTAGAGGAAGTTGTGGGGAGTCCAACGGTGATCTTGGAAATGATTTTGGACTTCAGAATCGACTGAAAAAGCCAAAAACTGTCGACTTGGATGATACTAATATGAGCCATTTCTTGCTAACGTGAGCCTACCTCTTGCCAAAGAAAGATCTAACACACTTTAGCATACTAACGTGCCTCGCACTATAGTGTATGTGACCATTTTAGCAAAGGGTAAAGTCAGGGATATCAAGGATAAATGAATGAAACCAAGTATATCAACTCGCCATTTCGTTAAACCTCGAGAGGGTACATGTCTTTTACCCTTTAACATATTTTCTAGTGTCAGTTAAGCAAAATTAGTAATGTTTGTTAGATGTAGGGACTTTTCTGTTGGTAAAAAATTAATATGCCCTTAATTGTTAGTTGCTATAAATAAGGATGACAAAAATATTTTTCCCTTGCATTTTGCTGTTTATTTGGTTAGTAGAGTGGATTTGAAATGGGGAGTGGAGTGAAGTTACATACAACTCCTACGAGTTAGCTTTTGCAAATTATTATTTTGCCCGATTATTTGTTGGAATTGTGCCTTGAATCCCATATTGCTTGGGAATGAGAGTTGCAAGAGGACTCTCCCCTTTAAATAGACTAGTAGATTAGGTTTTAAAGTATCTCAAAAAGTGTAAAATAGACACCAAAAGAATAGTCATTATGGGTTGTTATTAGGGTGTAATTGAGCTTTATGGGATAGTGTAAGGAGTTTGTAATTTTTTCTCTTCTAAAAACTTCATAGTTGTAAGCTTTTGCTTAGTGAATTGTTTGAGTGGATAGTGGATGTAAGCTAAATTGATTGGGCTGAACCCTTTTAAAATTCTTGTGTTTGGTTTGCTTTATTTTTGTTGCTTGCTTTAATTTTGCGTTTGAGTTGTGGGAATCTTTTTCAACATGTGATATCAGAGCCAGGTTCGTGATCTGGGAAAAGGCAAGCAAGGAGAGGGCAAGCTTGAGAGGAGGTTGGATTTAAGAGTAGATCAACGACTGTCAAGCCTCTCAAATTTTTGGAGGTCTGTCTAAGTTTGAGTTTCCTTTATTTGATGGTAAAATTAATTTTATGTTATAGCAAAGTACGATACAAGATCTTTTGGTACAACAAGGTCTTGATCAGGCATTAGAAAAGAGTAAGCCAAAGAAGATGTTTGATAAAGAATGGAATATAATTTAGAGGAAAGTTGTCAGTACAATCAGATTGGCTTTAGCTCCAAAGATAAAGTACAATGTGCTAATTGAGTCTACACCAAAGAGTTTGTGGGAAAAATTGGAAGGTATTTATGCATCGAAATCGTTGACTAACAGACTATGTTTGAAGATGGATCTATACTTTCTGAAGATGGATGAAGGTACGAATCTCCATGATCATTTAAATGAATTTAATAGGCTAGTATCTTAGTTGTTGGCTATTTCTTATGAGTTAAATGATGAAGAAAAGACATTGATATTGTTGTCATCTTGGCCTAAATATTATAGACCGTTAGTTCAAACTTTGTTGGTAGGTAGATCTACTTTAAAATTAGATGATGTGACTGCCTTGTTGCGTGAGAATGAAAGGTTTGTGGGATTAGAGAACTCATCACTTAGAGGAGATCTACCAGTTATAGAAGATTCTAATCGAGGGAGGACTCAAGAGAGAGGTGATAAATCAAAAGTCAAAGATTACAGTAATAAGGAGTGTTATTATTGTAGAGAGAAGGGACATATCTAACCACGCTGCAAGAAATTAAGGAAGGATATACTTGCTTTCAAGAAGGCTCAACAAATGAAGGATTCGAAGGATGATGCTTGGGTTGCTAATAATGAAGGTGAATTTTTAATAACATGTCAAGATGAAACTCAAACTTCAAAGGGTGAAAAAGGTTGGGTTTTAAATTCTGCTGCATCTATGCATGTTTGTAATGATAAAGATTGTTTTGTTGAATTAAAAGAAGATAAAAAATATGGAAATATTGTTGTTGGTAATAACGAGAAATTGAAGATTAAAGGCGTTGGTAGCGTTCATCTCAAGCTTCACAGTGGTATTGTTAAGAAGCTTCGTCATGGTATTGTTAAGAAGCTTCGTCATGTGAGGTATGTACCTTGTTGTAGTCACAATTTGATTCCTTTGGGTGAGTTGGCTTCTTGTGGATATACCTACTTTGGTCAAAGAGATGGATGTGAAGTGTATAAAGATGATGTTCTGATTTTGCAAGGTAAAAGGAATGAAAAACAACTATATTTGCTTGATGAAAGTGTGTGTCATAGGAAATCAAGAGATAAAGTTGTTCTAATTCCTATTGTGAAATAAAAGAATACTGTCAACCGAGTAAGATTTTCAGATGCTACTATGATGTTCGGGGATTCAAGTCAAGGGAGGAATTTTTAGGATTGTGCCTTGAATCCCATATTGCTTGGAAATGGGAGTTGCAAGGGGACTCTCCCCTTTAAATAGACTAATAGATTGAGCTTTTAAAGTATCTCAAAAAATGTAAAATAAACACCAAATAAAATGGTTATTGTGGGCTGTTATTAAGGGTGTAATTGGGCGTTTCGTGATAGTGAAAGGAGTTCGCAATTTTTTCTCTTTTAAAAATTGCAAATTTGTAAGCTTTTGCTTAATGGATAGTGGACGTAGGCTAAAGTGATTGGGCCGAACCACTTTACAATTCTTGTGTTTGGCTTGCTTTATTTTTGTTGCTTGCTTTAATTTTGCGTTTGAGTTGTGGGAATCTTTTTCAACATTATTGCCCTTTTGTTTTCACTTGCTTTTATTAAAAAATTATTTGCTATTTAAAAAATATATTTGATATCATATAAAAAAATTAAAATATCAATATGATAATATTAAAAATCATGAATTATAGACTTTTTCACAATTTTTCAACTGAAAATTGTTAGCATGATATCAGATGTTATTAAATTGATAAAAACAGTTAGTTTTGACCTTTTTATTATACATTACCACTATACTTCTGGTATAATTATCTTGACATTAAACATTGAAATGATCTCTCCCCCCCCCAAAAGGGTGTTGTGTGGTGGGCGGGTGTAAATAGATGTATAGCTTTATAAAAAAAGTCATACATCAATAGTATATGATTGTATTCCAACTAAGCAAAGAAATTAACTAAAGTAATTATAATCCAATGAAAAAAGAAAATAGAGTGTCTTATGGAACAAAGCCAAATCAATAATTGGTAAATAGAAAACAAAACAAAATAGAGCAAATGATAGTAAGAAAATTGATATGGTTAAATTATAATCCTGTAATTGTGCTTTGTCAGTCACTGCCTAATACCTAAAATGGTGTACATTAAATCAAATACATAAAACATACCTCTCTGAAAATAAATTGGGAAAAATGAATATATTTTCTTATTGAAGAATGTGGAGTACAAGTGTTTATATACAGGGAGTACAACTGTTTAACAACTAAAACAACTAAAACTAATTAACTAACTTAATAAAGATTAGTTACAACTAATCCTAATTATACAATTAACTATGTAATTGATCCTAACTACTAACTGGTATTTTCTAATACCTGCCTGCAAGCTGGAGAATGGATATTGATCATTCCTAGCTTGGATACAATATCTTGAAATGGAGCAACACCAAGTGGTTTGGTACAGATGTCGGATAATTGATCAGAAGAGGAGCATGGCATGAGATGAATGAGACCTGTATGAACGTGTTCATGGACAACGTGACAGTAAATTTCGATATGTTTAGTGCACTCATGAAAAGTTGGACTGGTAGTAATTTGCAAAGCAAAGTTATTCTCACAAAAAAGTAAAGCAGGATGAGGATGAGGGACATAAAAATCTTGAAGCAAGTATCTAAGCTATTGTAGTTCATAAGTTGTACAAGCAAGTGCGTGATACTCGCCTTCAAAAGATGAACAAAAGACAGTGGTTTGTTTCTTAGCTTGCCAACTAATCAAGGAAGAGCCAAGAAAAATACAAAAACTAATGACTGAGCATCGAGTATCAACACAGCCAGCCCAATCAAAATCACTAAATGCTTTGAGAATCAAAGATGAATCAGTTGGAAAGAATAATCCAGATGTAGGAGAGCCTTTGACGTATCGGAGAACTCGATGAGCAGCTTGAAGATGAGAGGAAGTTGGTTAATCCAGAAATTGACTCAACTGTTGTACCACAAATGCCAATTCTGGATGAGTGGTAGTTAAGTAAAGTAATCAACCAATCAATCATCGATAAGAGGAATTATCAAGAAGAGGATCCCCATGGTCTTTACTAAGCTTCAAGGAGGAGTCCATAGGAGTCTTGGCAGGGTTTGAACTAAGGAAACCAGAATCAGATAATACATCAAGCGCATACTTACATTGAAACAATGCAATGCCCTTGTGTGTTCTGGCCACTTCCAAACCCAAGAAGAACTTTAAATCCCCCAAATCTTTAATCTTGAAAGCATTATCAAGATATGCCTTGACAAAATCAATTTCCACCAAATTAGTTCCAGCAAGAATCAAATCATCAACATAAACTAAGATAATAGTAATAGAATCAGTTGCATGCTTGACAAATCATGAGTGATCAGAAGAAGATTGAAGATAGCCCAAAGAAATCAAGCCAGATGCTAATTTGGAAAACCATTAGCAACTAGCTTGTTTAAGGTCGTAAAGAGACTTTTGAAGCTTACAAACTTGATGAGAACTAGAGGAATTAAAACCTAGAGGCAGAGCCATGTATACTTCTTTAATGAGTTCACCATGCAAAAAAGCATTATTAACATCAAGTTGCTCGAGATGCCATTGATTAGTAGCTGCCAATGTTAAAAGTAATCTAACTGAAGTGAGTTTATCAACAAGAGAAAAAGTGACAAAATAATCAACACCCTTAGTTTGTGTATATTCCTTTGCAACTAGTTGCGCCTTATACCTTTCAATAGATCTATCAGCCTTGTATTTTATTCTATAAACCCATTTGCAGCCAACTGTAGACTTACCAATAGGGAGATCAATGAGAACCCATGTATTATTTGTTCAAGAGCAGTAATTTCAGCTTGCATGGGCTCTTTCTAGCATTGATGCTTAATGGTTTGGGCATAATTTTTGGGTTCGAATGCAGCAGAAATGGCTAATGTAAAATGCTTATGTGAAAGAGATAAATTGGAGTAAGAAATAACAGAAGATAAAGGATACAATGTACCTAAGTGGAGACGAGGAAGATTAGCTGAAGTTGCAAGATGAGAATGATAATCCTATAAATAATTTGGAGCTATACAAACTCTATGTGATCGAGAAGAATAGGTGGAGCAGATGGGAAACAAGAGATGGTAAAGATGACAATTGAGAAATTGATAGGACAACATAATCAAGTAAAAAAGAGTCTTGAGGTAAAGGTACTGATGGAAGCAAGGATTGTTTAGTGAAAGGAAATTTTGTTTCATGAAAAAGAACATTTCGACAGACAAAGAGTTCTTTTGAAGCAATGTCTAAAAGAATGAAGACTTTAGTTCTAAATTTATAGCCAAGGAACACACATCTTCGAGCTCAAGAATCAGACTTCGTCCTATTGGCAGACAAGGTAGATGCAAAACAAAGTGAATCAAAGACTTTTAGACTAGTAAAATCAGGAGGTTCATTATATAAAAGCTCAAAAGGTGACTTATGTTGTAAAAATGGAGAAGGAATTATGTTGTTAAAATGGAGAAAGAAGTATGTTAATCAAATAAACTGCATGGAGAACAGTATAGTTCCAAAAAAAATTTGGGCAAATTGGACTGAAATAGCAATGGTCGAGCCACCTTTAGTATGTGTTGATGTTTACACTCCACAATGCCGTTTTGCTGGGGAATTTCAACACATGAAATTTGATGAATTGTTCCTTTAGAAGTATAAAAAATTGGCATGTTAAATTTACAACCATTGTCACTTCGAAGAATTTTAATCTTGGCAGATAATTGAGTTTCAACTAAAAAAAAGAAAGATTGAAGCAAAGGCTTTGTATCAGACTTATTTTGCATTAAGAAAATCCATATATGTTGAGTATAATCATCAACAATGGTCAAAAAATACTTGTGGTCATGTACAGTGGGAGTAGAAAAAGGACCCCAAATATCGACGTGTAAATATCAAAACACTTATTGAATCTAGTGTGGCTTACAGAAGATAGCAATTTCTTTTGCTAAGCAAAATGACAAATAGTACAACTTGAATTGTTATGAAACGTAAGAGTTGGTATATATGGAGCCAAAAGTTTGATTCTTGAATCCGAAAGATGGCTAAGCCTATAATGCCAGACATCAATAGCAGTATTTGTGTTGGATAAAGAAACATGAGATGGAAAAGAAGGATTGCCAAAGGACCTATGCATTGTATATAAGCCATCCAACATTTCAGCTAAACCAATCGTCTGCCACGAGGTCAGATCCTGTATAAAACAACAAGTGTTTTGAAAAACAAAACAACAATGAAGTAAAGAAGTAAGTTTTGTGACAAAAATCAAATTAAAAGAGAATTCGGGTACATAAAGAACATTAGTAAGAACTAAACTATTTGTGAAAAATATAGTGCCAAAATAGTATGTGGTGATTCGATGTCCATTTGGTAGAGTTACTGAAACATGTTTGATTTGCTTATATGTGGTAAATGAGGAGAAGGAGTGAGTAATGTGATTTGTGGCACCTGTTTCAATAATCCATAGTTAGGATTTAGATAAGCAAGAGAGTGAAAATTGATTACCTGACAGAAATGAAATATTGGAAATAAGGGTGAAATTTTGATGTTGAGTGGCCACTTGATTGGTATAATGAGGTGATGATGGAAATTTCTCAATGCTAGAGGATTAGAGGAAGTTAATGCTTGTTGATACTGCTGTTTAGTCAACGAAACATCAGAGTGCTTAGGATTCCCTTTTGGTGGATCAGGATTAGGACATGAGTTTTTAGAGGACTTATTTCCTTCTACAGAAACCACATTATTATAAGCAGATGGATTGTAATTTTTGGGTTTATATCTAGGTGGATAGCCATGCTTCTTATAACATGTTTCAACAGTATGGCATGATTTACCACAAAAAGTGCAAAAATGTTTATGGCCATTAACATGCTTAGTAGATGATTGTGTGCCAATAGGTTTCTTGTTGAAGGAATCATTTCGAACAGTCATATTAAAGAATACCATGGAGACTCCTGAACTCATCTGTCTTTCTTGCTGTCGCACCAAAGAAAAAACTTTATTGATGGAAGGTAAAGGTTCCATGAGCATGATCTGTGATCTAGCAATAGTAAACAGATCACCAAGACCTTTAAGAAATCAGATGACATAATCATTATTTTGAT